TCGGGCCAAAGGTAGGACGTATTTGTCGGCCGCATCGGAGGAGTCTTCGGTTTTGGACGTCCTTCGTCGCGGCGCTGTGACGTATGCGGCCGACAAATTCAGCCTTCGGAGGACCCGGCCTGCTGTTTTGGACACAGCCATAGTAAAACTCTTCCTTAAAGTAGCAAAAATCCTGATTAAAAATAATCTAAAAAGATGGCTAAAAGCTGCAAAATAGTAGCAAAAGTAAGAATTGGCAAGCTAAAAGCTAAAGTGTCAAAAGGCTAGCTGTAAGTGATAAAAGTAGAAAAACACTAGCAGAAGAACAGCTAAAATCTAAAAGTAGCAAAAAGTCGTAAAGTTGCAGATTCATAACTAAAAGCTAAAAGTAGCAAAATGATGGCTAGGAGCTAAAAGTAGCACAAGGTCAGCTATATAATAAAGGTAGCAAAAACCTAACTAAAATACAAATGTAGAAAACAAATGTAGCAAAAGACTATCCAAAAGATTTAAGTATCAAAAGGCTAGCTAAAGGATTTAGCTAAAACTGAGCTGAATTGAAAAACAGTAGCAACAAGTAGGGAAACACTAGCTAAAAGCTATAGGAAGCTAAGAGCTAAATAAATGTCATAAATAGCCAAACTCTTCTTAAAAGTAGCAAAAAAGCCTTATTAAAAATATTCTATAAGCATCGTTAGTGGCTAAAAGCTAGCTAAATGATTTTATTTGCAAAAGGTTAGCTAGAAGTTAAAATGTAAAAAAAATAAAGGAAAAAGTAGAGGCTAAATATAAGCTATAATACACAAAAGGATTACTAAAAGCTAACAAAAGGTTAGCTAAAGCTAAAAGTTTTAAAAGGATAAATAAAAGCTTCTAGAAACAAAAAAACTAACTAAAAGCTCAAAGCAGCAAAAGGCTAACATAGGGCACAAAGTAGCAAAAGCCCATCTAAAAGCTCGAATTAGCTAAAAAGCTAACTATAAGCTGAAAGAAGGAGGGACCTCAGTTAATTTCTACAGGGAAAATATGTTTAAATAACTTGAAAAGTACAAAAGTCACAAAAACATAAATTCAGAGCAGTTATCTGCTGAACGAGCCGAACGTTAATAATCAAAATAAACCTGTTTGTTGTTGTTTAGTTCCCACGAGCGGCGGTCACTTTATGAGCCGCAGCTTTGTGAGTTTTTTAACTGAATCATYATTAAAGATATTTAATTTAAATAAACATTAAAAGACAAATATTTTGACCTTTAACCAGCAGAAACAAACTATTTATACATATTTGCACAAGAGTTCAGTTTGTTCAACACCTACAGAGGGTTTAGAGCCGGAGGACGGGGTGTGTGTGTGTGTGTGTGTGTGT